ATCACTCATTTGACTGTATCTGCACTTTATGCTTGTATTTTTTAAATGCTTTTATACAATTAGACTTTTATAATATAACATCATTTTAAGTTTTTTTAAATCACTGCACTTGCCTGGAAATTCCTTGCAGAAAAATAAGAGGTAGATGTTTTTAAATTAATTTAAACAATAATTAAAATGAAAAAAAAAAACCACAAAACCCAAAAACAACCCAACCACCAACAAACCCAAAGAAATGTCTACTTCTCACTGTCCTTCCCCTTCTCTGTTGAGGCAGACATTTACAGATTCTGTTAAAAATAAAATTATTTAGCCTGCCCACATTTTTTGTATTTTTTGTATTATGAACTTTGACAGGAAAACTGTGATTGCATTACACAGAACAAAGGTATAAATCACATTTTACAACTACCTAGCTTTTTTTTTTGCATTTCCACAGCATAGTTAGGCATTGATGAGGCTCTTTTTAATATGGAGGTGGATTCTCCATCTGCTGCAAAAATAGACATTGCAAATCTAGACAAAGCTAAAGTTACAAGTTGCAGAGGTGTATATCTGCAAATTACAGCTCACTTTGAAACCCATTTCAAACCTTTCAAGGCAATCTCATGGGGTTTTCAGGTATATTTTCCATTAAACACAATGAAACAGCTAAATTCACAATGGTTAAAATTCTAAATGAACCTCTGAAAATTTAATTAAGAAGTTAGGTCAAAGAAACTGAATTTACTTCAATATACACACACCTTACTACACAATAAGCAGGACAACATTTTTTTTTGTTTTTTTTGTTTTTTTTGTTTTTTTTGTTTTTTTTGTTTTTTTTGGTTCATTTTGGTGGGTGGGGGGAAGCTCTGGGAAAATAAACATATTCATGCTGGTATGGGCTGACGTTTCTAAATTATTATGAACTTCACCAGACCTGGAACAGAAGCTGGCTTTACAGCAAGCTTTTCAGACGCTCACTGAAAAACCTTGACACTTTCATTCCCCTTCCACGGTAGAGAACGACACCGAGAAAGCTGGATGACAGCCTGTGCGCTGGCAGGCAGAGAGACCCAGGGGGCTCAGCCCCGTCTGCAGCCTGGGAGTCACTGTCTGACTTTCCAGTCAGAAGGTTGTCTTGTCTTTCCCAATTTCCTTGCACAAGCAGAAAACTTATAGGAGCTTCCCAGATAGGCACTATCATTTCAGTTTTCCCAATCAGAAAACTTTGCTCAGGTAACAATTTCATTGAATATGAAATCATTATTTGTAGTTCAAAACACTTTCAAAGCTTTTATTCTTGCAATGCATTTAGTAATAGTGATTACGTTTCACTGCATTTTCTGTTTCAGAAGGAATGCATTACATTAAATTGCACAATAAGAAAAAGTTTGGTCTACTGTTGCCAAAGGACAGTTAGCAGTACCTGTAAAATTGTTAATTGGTCAGAATGCAAAGAATATACAAATCTTTTTGTCTTGAGATACCTCTTGAAATCCAGCTTGATGCCTTTATTTGTATTGACAATCTCTTCTAGCCATTCCTGCAATGTGTTGTCACTGTCCGTTTCAGGTGGATGAGCCATGATAGGGTCTCCATTTCCTCCCTTGCCACCACGAAGAAGAACATCTGCTTCTATCATGTGAACATCACCTGTTGATTTAAAAAATGAATGCTCTTAACAGAAGCAAATCCAATAGTTCCAGTGTCTGCTTCAGAGTAACAATTACAGGGCAAGTCTCTCTACACTGCACTGTGCACACTTACTCCACAAAGATCACCCAGTATGAGTTGCTGCCTGTGAAGCAACAGAGATGCATTTCTTTGGGTACTTCAGTCACTAAACTCTTTAGAAATCTATAAGCACATGAAAATTTATTTTTGTAGATACATTTGGCCAAGTAATCATGTTTTTTTCAGAGGAACAACAAAATGAATATCCCAAATGTGAATCTACTCTTGCTAAACTACAAATCTTTTCCTCTTAAAACAGGGGTCCAGACAGAGGCTTTTAGAGAAAAGGTAACTGGAAGATTTTACCACTGGCAGAGACTGAGTACTCCCCTTGTCTCATTCTCAAAACTGACCAACCCACCTCAGCCAAAACTTGTTTTGCTCCACTGCCTACTGGCCTCTACTGGCCTTTTAACAGCACTGATACCAAAGCTCACTGGATGGAGGGATGGAGGGAAGGAGGGATAGAGGGATGGAGGGATGGACGGACTTTTAATCAGCTCATTTCCATTTTCTGTTTTCCAGAGCAGATCCACAAACAGAAGTGTCAGCATAATGGAAAAGATGACCTACCATGAGATCAAACAGGAAAGAATAGAGACAACGTGACCACCGCTGCGTGGGCTGGCTATCAGGGAGCTGCGGTCTATCAGTATGTAAGACCACATCAGAGAAACCAGTTTTACCTGCAGCAGGAGCTTTTGCATTCTGCAGTGCAAACACAGAAACCGAACACCGCCCCAGACAAGTTTCGCTCGAGTGCGTGAAACCAGGCGACTCCTTAACCATGGCTCCAGTCTGCTAGGAGGTGATGAAGGGCTTTGTTAACTTGAAGGTCTGGCCTGACAGAGCCTGCGCACCTGGAAGCTGGTTGTCCTTTCTCAACTACGTGAGCTTGTCCAGTAACCGGGTACCACCTCCACACCTTGTCCTGCCGGCCTTCGCGATGCCGGTTCGCAGGAGCAGCGGCCATCCTGGGACGGGCCCTGCCTGGAGGACAAAGCGGGGGCGCCTCCCGGCACGGCCAGGCCCCCTCCGCCCGTCACCCCGGGCCGTCACAGCCGAGGCGGCCGCCCGGCGTCAGGGCAGGGCGGCAGGCGCGCGCCCCCTCCTTCTCCCCCCCCCCCGGCG